TCCCACACTTTATATTGCCCGTAATTGCCACCACAGATTGGTCACACCTAAAAGCTGTGTTCTATTTGATAAACATCCATGTGTCACAATCACACAATGCCCAACGAGCTTAGGGCTAACACTACTAAACAACAACAAGCGGAACCAAACAAGCGTGACCAAACAAGCGGAGTCAAACAAACGAAACCAATCAAGCTACATTCATCGACAACACTATCGCTTGCAGCTTCAAACACGCAGCTGCAATCGCAAACCACAGCAGGGCAAGGCACAGGAGAAGTAAATTAGAGAATCACAGCAAGGCAATGCATGGACACTATGCATCGATACCACATGTCCATCACTACAAAACTGAGGATCTGTAGCATGCCATCTCACCTTCAATGGTCTATATCCACTCGGCTGCCCAGGGCCCCGATACCGTCTCAGCGTAAGAGCGCGGGACAGGGATGTCGAGGGCATCTAGGTCGCCCTCTGGGAATGCAAGCATGGAGCAGAGATGGGGTACAACGGCAGCAAGGTAGGCGAATTCGTACTGCATGTTTTCTAGCACGTCACTGCCAAGAGCAGGTGCATCCCCGACAGACGGAGAACAGGCAGTACCAGAGACCAGAGCGGCAGCATAGTCAAGGCGGTGGCTGGCAGCGAAGTCAGCGACAAGTGCACAGACAGTCTCAGGAGGAGCGGTAGGGTCAGTGCCAAGGGACTAAAGCAAGTGAGAGGTGGTAGGGTGAGTAGTGCGAGCAGGGTCAAAGGGAGGAGCAGAGGACTGCAGGAGTGACGACGGAGAAGGTAACGGAAGGACACGGATTGTAGGAGCACGAGAACGAAGGTCCATATGGTGGTCACTGGCACGAGGAGAGACAAGATGAGCACCAGAGGGACGACGGATCTTGTGAGGAAGAACAGGTGACTGGGGACGAGGGGTGAAGAGGGACAGGACAGGGGACGGAGGAGAGCAGGGGGAGGAATGAACCGGAGAGGAGTCCGGGCGGGAAACAGCAGGCGATAAACAGGGTCACGCACCGGAGGAGGGACGGTCGGTTGGTCAGGGGAACCAGGAGCAAGACCAAGGAGACGAAGAGCAGACTGCGGCTGCTGCTGCTGCGGCGGCTGCTGTGGCTCCCTGTCCTCGTCAAGACTTCCAGCGCCACCTCGGCTAATGCCAGTACTCTCCAGAACAACACCCCCAGGACTAGTGCCACCCACAAAGTTGGCACCCCCAGAGCCCAATGCCCCCTGCTGCTGCTGCTACTGCGGCTGCTGAGTCTGCTACGGCGACTGCGGCTGCTGCTGAGGCAAGGGGGGAGGCGGCTGAGGTGCCTGGGCTACCGGGGCTGGGGGAGGCGCCACAGAGACACCAGGTGCGCCCCCAGCCACTGGGCCCCCAGATTTAGTGGACTCCCCCTCGGGCCCAACCGAGGGGAACGGAGTGGCGTGGGAGACACCAGACGGGACCGGGCGGGGTGGGAGGGGTGCTGGAGGCGGGGCAGGGACGAGGAACAGAGAAGGAGGAGGAACAGGAGCACTGCAATACGGGAAGCGCTGGTAGTAGGGGAGCGTCTCGTCTAAGGTCACGTCACGAAAGTGGTAGAAGCTGTGGTGTACCAAAAGGTAAAATAGCTTGTCAGAGGCATCAAGTGGAAACTCTAGGAAGACACAAGGAAGGGTGCGGGCTGAGAGCTTGTCCGCGCTAGTGTTGCGGACGTGAGCAAGGCTACCCCAGACGTGAAACGCGAACGCGTCACCAGGAGACCCGGTCCAGAGACGGGTCGACGAAACCTGTGGTTGTGGGGAGCACAGCCACAGGTTAAGCTGATGAGGTGCGTAACACATGGCGAATGGCCACATAAAATGGGGTGCATCAGCGTGGACCATGGAGGTGCGAGCTACCTCCATGACCGGGCCGATGCATCGCTCAGCGACTCGATTCCGCTGTGGGGAGTCCGGCACTGTGTATGTCTAGCAAATGCCAGAGGCGAACTCTCCACCACGGCCAGAGTGCAACCAGACTACGAGCAGGCGGTGCTGGACGCGAACAGCAAGAAGCCATGAGAAAAGAACGGTAGGCACATCGGCCTTCCGCTCCAACGGGAGCACCTTGGTGAAATGCGAAAAGTTTTCAACGACGACTAGGAATTAGTGCTCCCGACTAAGACCATGGACTGGGGCAGGGCCCAAGACGTCCATGTGCAGATTCTGTAGCGGTGCTATGGTAGGACATGTGCCTAAGATGCGTGATTGTAGGGTGACCTATGCGGTGGTGCCACAGTTGGGCGAGTGAGCGACAGGAGCAGGACGCGGTGACCTCAGAAGACGCAGCAGCCAGTTGGGACTCAGGGTGCACTGTGAAGAGATCGGACGCAGGGTTATGCTCAAAAGTGGCTAGGTGGTGACCGGTGGCTGTGTCTGTGCAAGCTGCGTGTCTCTCGCGGCCATGGAACATGGTGGTGACTCCTCGGTCCTGGAGGTGACCGACACCCACTTGGTTTCTGGCAGACGAGGGGATGTGCAGACCGGTGAGGGAGCCGGAGGGGACAGCCGGACATGGGAGAGGGGTGGTGCTGCGTGCGACAGCTGTGGTGGAGGAGTCTGCTAGTGCAACACGGGCAGGCGCGGGGAGCAGGTTGAGAGCAGTGCTGTCTCTATAGAAGGAACGGGACGTGCCAAAATCTAGGATGAAGAAGAGGGCCCACGTGGCGGTGCCCAGTGAAGTAGCTCTAACAGATCCTATGCCTGACGCAGCAGGGGAGTCTACGCCTGACGCAGTAGGGGATTCTAGACTACACACAGCAGTGGCTCCTAGGCTACAAGCAATAGGATAATAGGAACCATCAATACTAGAGTCATCAGCATACAGAGAATACTAGGCATGATTGATCTGAATCATATTTATATAAAAGATAGGAACCCCACAACGAAGCAAGGCCAGCCGGGGAGGTACCTGCACCAGCGGGCCGAACTGATGGCGGTAGAGGTCGTCGAGGCAGCGGTAGTAGCGGGCGGCGATGTGGCCCGGGCGGTTGCAGACCTAGCCAGCCTGGGGGCTGGTTTAGCAGCCGGTATGTGCAGGTTGCCGTGCCGACAGACCGCTAGCACCCTGGCTTGTAGTGGAGCCACGTGACCCCCAGGGCACCGACTGCCCAGGGACCCAACCTCCACGGCCGCCACCACGGCCACCATTCCCAGGGCCCGCCAGCCCCCACGGCAGCTGCGTCTGCTGCAGCAGCTGCTGCTGCTGCTCAGTCCCCCACTCCAACTGACCACCCTCTCTCTCTGCACTCACACCCCCTCCACCCGCTACTGTCGACCCTCCACGGCCCTAGCCCCCCTTGCCCTTGCCCTTGCTAGAGTAGCCTGGGGCAGAGGCAGCCGTTGCAGTCTCGGCAACAGAGGCGGAGGCAGGAGGGACAGCCACCTATGAGGAAGAGCTGCCCTGGAAGATAGGGACAGCCGGCGTGCCAGTGGAATATGCAATGGCGAGGTCCTGTATCTCAGTCAAGGAGAGAGAAGAGATCAAGGGTGAGCTCAGCTCAGAGGGGTGGCGAGCAAGGAGGGCGTCGCGGGCAAGGGCCAGGCGGTCAGGGAGGCGGGTGACAAGTAGATAGTGGCGTGGAGGGGGGGTGGAACGAGAGCCAGCTGGGCCTCAGTACAGGCCGTATCTCAGCTTTCCTCGAGGGAGCGCAGGTGCTCAACTTAGTCTGCTACAGTAGTGAAAGAAGTCGGGCTAGGGTGGAAGAACGGGAGGAGGAGGCGACCAAGAGTAGCAAACGACGGGGTGAAGTACCTAGAAAATATGGTTGTCGAGACGGCGCGGGCCGACGCAGCACCCACAAACTGGGAGTGCGTGTCAACTGGCAAGCACCTGAGGATGGCGACACGGGCAGTGGCGTTGCGGGACACCCAGACAGAGTAGGAGGTACGGGCAGCAGCGTGCGCAGCCTGCTGCTCGGACGTCGCGTCAGCTGCAAAAGTGCCCGGGCGGGGGACAGCAGGGAGCTCACCAGTGACGTGGGCGTCCAGAGACTCATCGTCGACGACCTGGCTCGTGAGCTGCAGGAGAACGGCCTCCTGCCAGGTGGCAAAACCGACCGCCCGCCCCTCCCCATCCAGGCGCAGAACGAAGACGCTGGTCGCCGACATGCTGGTGGCTTAGGCGGCAGCTGCGGCTGTGAAGACGGAGGTGGCAGAAGCGGAGATAGCGGCGGCAGCTGCGTCAGGGGCAGCAGCGGCGGGTGCTGCAGTGGCAGTGGCGGCGGAGGCAGCAGTGGCTTCGGCTAGCTGGCTGCAGGGACGCGGCTGCTGACTAGAGGCGGCAGCAGCAGGAGTGGCGGGAGTGATGGCTGCAGTGGCAGTGACGTCAGCGGCAGGAGAAGCAGTAGGAGTGGCGGTAGTGGTGGCTGCAGCGGCAGCGGCGGCAGCAGCAGGAGCGGCGGCAGCAGCAGCTGCAGTGGCAGCGGCGACAGTGGTAGGAGCAGCGGTAGCAGGGGCTGCAGCGGCAGCGGCGGCAGTGGGAGAAGCGGCGGCAGTGGCGGCGGCAAGCCAGTGGTGAGCTGGCTGGCGGCTGCTGGCAAGCGAGGCAGCTGCGAGCTGGCTGCTGGCTGCTGGCGGCTGCGGGCGAGCAAGCCAGCGGCGAGCTGGCAGGCGGCAGCGGCTAATGGCTGGCTAGCGGCTGCTGGCTGGCAGCTGCTGGCTGCTGCTGGCTGGTGAGCCAGCGGCGTGCTGGCTGGCACTGCTTGCGGCTAGCTGGCTGGCGCTGCTGGCGGTGAGCAGGCTGGCTCTGCTGGCGGCGAGCAAGCTGGCACTGCTGGCGGCCAGCGGGCAGGTGCTGCTGGCGGCGGGCTGGCTGGCACTGCTGGCGGCGGACTTACGAAAAGTACGCTGCGCGAAATCGAGTAGCGGGAGAGGTGCAGATTTTTTTGTTGTTGAGGGTACACTACGGACGGAAGCGTGGTGTACCTAGCCTAGCTCTAATGCCATGTCAGGATAGCGCAAAAAAGTGACTCAGTGTCGAGGGTTGTACAAGGGTGTGGTTATACCCCCTAAGAACTGACCTAGCTAGGATATAACAAGATATACTAACTAGTGTATTGTATATTTGTTGACAATATTATCACAATTGGTAGCACTACCAAAGTGTATTTCATTCTCTGCCCGAAAAAAGGCCCCAACTAACCTTCCCCCTGTACCGGTATATATACTGGGGGCCTAGGGAAAATTTATCGAGAGCAGCGAAACCCGTTTGTGCATATTCTTGCACAATCGAAGTCCTTGCGTTACATTGAATCTTTGCGACCACTAATAGACTTATCCCTTAGTTATGTTCATGGGCCTCGAGTTGGGTCCCAGCCTGTAACATAGTCCTCGTTGAGAGAGTCGAGCTTGGCCATGTCAATGTCGGAAATGCTGAAGTCGTACACCTGCCACATGGCACATGGCACAAGGCACATGGCACATGACACATGGCACATGGCACATGACACATGACACATGGCACATGGCACATGACACATGACACATGGCACATGGCACATGACACATGGCACATGGCACATGGCACGTGGCACATGACACATGACACATGGCACATGGCACATGGCACATGACACATGGCACATGGCACATGGCACATGGCACATGGCACATGACACAGGACACACGGCACATGACACACAGCGCATGGCACAAGGCAGGGCAGCGGAGGCTGATAAGTCATGAAGTGCACAGAACGCGGCGGGAATAGCACCCGAAGACTGACGAGGAAGACCCAGATGACACAATGCAGGAGGGCAATGGCTGGCATCAGCAGGTGAAGTGTAATGCGGTATGCGCTAGTGCTGTAGACAGCAAAGCAAGTCTTATAGCAGGAGAGAAAATCTAAGTCGAATACGGAAATGGAAGGATTGGCCCAAAGCGTTACCTGGGTGTTGGAATCACCTAGGTGCTGGAATCAAGTGGGTGCTGGAATCACCTGGGTGTTGGAATCACCTGGGTGCTGGAATCACCTGGGTGTTGGCAGCGATATGCGCCGGGTTGACGGAGCGCGGCAGCACCACGAAGCCCTTCTGCAGGCACCACCGCACCATCAGCTGCGCCGTGCTCTTCTGGTACCGCGCCGCCATCTGGGGGGGAGGTCCGGTTGGGGATGAGAGGTGAAGAGGTGAGCATGATGGGCACCATGGGGTAAACATGGGTAGACGGGAGGTAGACATGTAGACGTGAGGCGGATGGGACGACGCATGTTGGAACAAGAGGAACGGAGTTGAGTGAGGGCGTCAGGCCTTAGCTGGCCCGTGGCAGCAGTTCCAAGACACAGCCCCACCAGGATGCCAAGCACTCGGGGTGTTGGAGACTCTGTGCTCCCTTGGAACCACCTAGGGCCCAACCGTACCTACGAATCCACTACAGCCCTCCACCCCACTCGGCCCTCATCACACCTACCTCCACCAACTCATGCACTGTACTGTGTGTACCTACGCCCACCGCACCAACCCCCCCACCCCTACCTCCACTGCACCTCCCCCCCACTCCCTCTACCTCGACGAGCGTGGGGTCACGCAGGCGCGTGCCCTTGGTGAGCGGCGAGTACGCCTGCATGGCGATGCCGTGCTGCTGGCAGAAGTCCACCAGCTGCCGCCGCGTGCCGAAGGGGTGCAACTCGACCTGGTTGACGGCGGGGCGCACGCTGCACGCCGCAAACAGCTCCTCCAGGTGCTGCTGCCCGAAGTTGCTCACCCCGATGGCGCGCACGCGCCCGCCCCTCAGCAGGTCCTCCATGGCGCGCCACGAGTCGAGGCGCGCGTCCACTCGCATGGGTGAGTGCAGCAGGTACAGGTCCACTGGGGGGGGGGGGGATGCGATGACAAGAGGATGGTGAGACACTAGAGGAAGGAAGAGGCGATGGGGATAGGTGCGACAGCAGTGATCGAAAGAGAGAGAGAGAGAGAGATGAGGTTGGCGCCTGCTCCCTCCACTCCACCCACCGTAGTCGAGCCCCAGCTCGGAGAGCGAGCGGTGGAAAGCGCTGAGCGTGGCGTCGTAGCCGTTGTCGGCGTTCCACAGCTTGGTCGTCACAAACACCTGCTCGCGCCGCAGCCCGCTCGCGCGCACCGCGCGCCCTGATGGCACGGGCACGGGTGGCAGCATGCATGCACGGATGATGAAACAGGCACATGCACTATGCCATCCACGAAGAGACCGACTTGCGAACAACAGCACGGTGTGAAAGAAAGAAAAATTGGTCTTCAAGGCGAGTGCACAGGACCATGGCCCTGACTCGCACGCCTTCTCCTCGCCCAGACTGCATGCACACGCCCTGCCTGCCGCACCTCTCTGCCTCTCCCCCTCCATACTCTGCAGCACCAGGCCATCCCCCTCGTAGGCGTGGACTCCCAAACTCTTTCTGCCGTGCCATCACTAACATGCATCCTTCCTTATCACTTCTCTCGTGCGGCTTGGGTCATCTCACAACGAGCCACAACAAGCCAAGAGGAGAGACGGCGGGAGGGAGAGTGAGAGGGAGGGCGTGGGGAGGAGGGGGGCGCACCAACGGCGGCTTCGTTGCGGTACAGCTGCGCGGTGTCGATGTGGCGGTACCCCTCCCTCAGCGCCGTCAGCACCGCCGCCTCCGCATCGCGCGCTGAGATCTGAGAGGGGGAGCGCGCAGGGGGGGAGGCAGGACTAAAAGTGAGCAACGCTGCAAGGTGGGTGATGAATGAGAGGCTCAGTGGGAAAGCGAGTGGCCACGGGGATGAGAAGGGAGGGATGGGCTGTGGAAGCTGAAGGCACAGCAGGATGCCACGGATGGCTTCATGGGAGATGCCCTTTCTGGCGTCATGGGTGCCACACACATCGCATCACGGCGTCATGGGTGCCACATACATGGCATCACGGCGTCATGGGTGCCACATACATGGCATCATGGCGTCATGGGTGCCACATACATGGCATCACTGTGTCATGGGTGCCACACACATGGCATCACGGCGTCATGGGTGCCACATACATGGCATCATGGCGTCATGGGTGCCACACACATGGCATCACGGCATCATGGGTGCCACACAGATGGCATCACAGCATCATGGGTGCCACACACATGACATCACGGCGTCATGGGTGCCACATACGTGGCATCATGGCGTCATGGGTGCCACACACATGGCATCACGGCGTCATGGGTGCCACACACATGGCATCAAAGCGTCATGGGTGCCACACACATGACATCACGGCGTCATGGGTGCCACATACATGGCATCATGGCGTCATGGGTGCCACACACATGGCATCACGGCGTCATGGGTGCCACATACATGGCATCACGGCGTCATGGGTGCCACACACATGGCATCACGGCGTCATGGGTGCCACACACATGGCATCACAGCGTCATGGGTGCCACATACATGGCATTACGGCATCATGGCTGCCACATACATGGCATCACGGCGTCATGGGTGCCACATGGCATCACGGCGAAACAGCAAGGCGCCTCACCATGGGTCCAATCCCGCTCTTGCCAAATGCATGCCCACCCCTGCTCTCACCAGGCACGTGCCTACTGCTCTCACCACGCACGTGCCTACTGCCAACCACGCACGTGCCTACTGCTCTCACCACGCACGTGCCTACTGATCTCACCAGGCACGTGCCTACTGCTCTCACCACCCATGTGCCTACTGCTCTCACCACGCACGTGCCTACTGCTCTCACCACCCACGTGCCTACTGCTCTCACCACGCACGTGCCTACTGCACTCACCACCCACGTGCCTACTGCTCTCACCACGCACGTGCCTACTGCTCTCACCACGCACGTGCCTACTGCCAACCACGCACGTGCCTACTGCTCTCACCACGCACGTGCCTACTGATCTCACCAGGCACGTGCCTACTGCTCTCACCACCCACGTGCCTACTGCTCTCACCACGCACGTGCCTACTGCTCTCACCACCCACGTGCCAACTGCTCTCACCACGCACGTGCCTCACCATGCACGTGCCTCACCATGCATGCGCCTCACCATGTGTAAGAAACGGGACATTTATTGATTAAATGAGAGAGGGCATACAAGCTTAAGTACCAACCATCGGAGAGGGTTGGAAGGGATAAGGGAAATCGGAGGGAATCCCAAGGGAATCCTCCCAAATCGTGGGGATTTGGGATGGATTGGGTTGGGATATGTTGGGGATAAATGGCTACACCCAACCTAACAAACATTCCTAACCCTAAACAAACAAATGACTAACACACAAATGTGCAACATTGCAGCCTAACTCCAACACACCCCTAGGCTGCAACGTCTAAAGTCATCGGGACGCCAAGACCCATAGCACAGAGGAGGCAGTAGTGGTCACGGCGTCCAAGCGACTTGGTGAACAAGTCTGCGAGGTTGCATTCAGAAGAAATGTGCTTCACGCACAACTGGCCACGCTGGACCAACTCGCGCAAAAAGAAGTGCCTGAGCTCGATATGCTTGGTCCGTTGGTGGAAGACAGAGTCTTTGGTAAGGTGTATAGTGCTCTCGTTATCACACCATAGGGTCAAGGTCTGCAGAGGATACCCGAGCTCAGACATGAGGTAGGTAAGCCAACGAGCTTCTTGGGCTGCCATGGTGCCTGCGTACAGCTTTGCTTCGCAGGACGACAAAGAGACGAACGATGAGCGTGTAGATTGCCAACTGATGACACCACAACCAAGGGTGAAGCAATAGCCCTGGGAGGAGCATCGGTCAGCTTGGTTGTCAGCCCATGAGGAGTCACTGTACCCCTCGAGGTGAGGAGGGGACGTGCCACAGAGAGTGAGGACAAAGTTCTTGGTGGCTTGAAGGTAGCGAAGAACACGTTTAGCAGCTAACTAGTGGCGATTGGTGTAACGACCGGCAGCAACGTAACGTGAGAGCACGCTAATGGGATAGGCCAAGTCGGGCCTTGAGCACATCATCGCATACATGAGTGAGCCGACGAGCTCGGGATAAGCCGCGTCACAAGGCTCAGGTGATGGAACGGACGGGGCAGTCACATCGTGCTGCAAGGGGAGCGACGTAGCCACTGACTTGGCTTTGTCCATTTGGAAGCGCTTGAGGACGTTGTTCACGTAGAACTCTTGGGCGAGAGTGATGGTTTAGGCTTCACGATCCCGCGTGATTTCCATCCCAAGGTAGTACTTGAGTTCGCCGAGATCCTTCATTGCGAGCGCGTCCCCAAGGGCTTGCTTGACTGCTGCCAGCTGATCGGAGTCCTTAGAGACGAGAATCATGTCGACAACATAGACGAGAATGAAGAACGGCTTCTCGATCTTGCGAATGAAAAGGCTCAAATCGGCGGCAGAAGGATGAAAGTCAAGTGACTCGAGGGTGGCCTTCAGCTTCTTGTGCCATTCGCGAGGAGCTTGCTTCAGCCCCTAGACGGATCGATTCAGCTTCCAGACTGTGCTAGGTGGAAAGGGTAAGGGGAACCCTTGAGGCCGTTCCATGAAAATATCCTCAGGGAGGTCTCCTTGCAGGAATGCGGCTGAGACATCCATAGAGTGGACCTCGAAGTTGCCTCGAGCAGCGACGTCAAGGAGAGTGCGAAGGGTAGGCAGCTTAGCCGTCGAGGTGAAGGTGTCAAAGAAATCCAACCCCTTTTTTTGCATGAAGCCTTTAGCACACTAACGTGCCTTCAAGACCGAAAGTTCACCAGGCCAGACATGAGTGCACCCCCGACACAAGAGGCGGATTGAGGGAGATGCGGACGGAGAGAGCAAGAGGCTGGATGGGACCACGAGAACGGGTACGATGAGCGACGGGGGAGGAAGGAGGCGGCGCAGGAGGAGGTGGGACGGAAACGTAGGAACGACCTTGGCAGCGACGCCTATAGGTGACGGGTGCTGCGGAGGAGGTGGGCGCGGGCGGAGGAGCAGGCGCTAGAAGAGGAGGGAGGAGGAGGAGGAGGAGGAGGAGGAGGAGGAGGAGGAGGAGGAGGAGGAGGAGGAGGAGGAGGAGGAGGAGGAGGAGGAGGAGGAGGAGGAGGAGGAGGAGGAGGAGGAGGAGGAGGAGGAGGAGGAGGAGGAGGAGGAGGAGGAGGAGGAGGAGGAGGAGGAGGAGGAGGAGGAGGAGGAGGAGGAGGAGGAGGAGGAGGAGGAGGAGGAGGAGGAGGAGGAGGAGGAGGAGGAGGGAGGAGGAGGAGGAGGAGGAGGAGGAGGAGGAGGAGGAGGAGGAGGAGGAGGAGGAGGAGGAGGAGGAGGAGGAGGAGGAGGAGGAGGAGGAGGAGGAGGAGGAGGAGGAGGAGGAGGAGGAGGAGGAGGAGGAGGAGGAGGAGGAGGAGGAGGAGGAGGAGGAGGAGGAGGAGGAGGAGGAGGAGGAGGAGGAGGAGGAGGAGGAGGAGGAGGAGGAGGAGGAGGAGGAGGAGGAGGAGGAGGAGGAGGAGGGGCAACGGGAGGAGGAGCAGCAGGTACGAATGCTGGTGAAGGGGGGGAGGAAGGCACAGGCAAAGGTGAGAGTGCAGGAGGAGGGGAAGAGGAAACACCCGAGGGGGCGGGGGAAGGAGGGTGGGAAACAACGGAAGGAGAGGGAGCGGGTGAGGAGGAGAGGGTGGAGGAATCGGGAGTGGTGGCAGAGGGGATGGAGAGGAGGCGTCGAAGTCGGCCATGACGAGCGAAGGTGGAGCGGGGGCGGGAGACGAGTGAAGATAAAACGGGCGGGTCTCGTCCAAAGAGACATCTCGGGTACGGATGAGTTGATTAATGGACAGGTTGAGGAAAATGTATGCTGGAGAATCGAGGTTGTGACCGAGGTAGACGCATGTCCGAGTCTTGGGAGCGAACTTGCCGCCATGGGCTCGATGATCTTGACGATTGAGGAGGATATAAGCGGTACACCCCGAGACGCGGAGCGGGCGTGCACTTGGCTTTGAGCCTGTCCAAAGCTCGGCAGACGTGACCTCTAGGCGAAGGGGATGAGGGTGAAGGTTGTAGAGGAGGGTGGCGTGAAGGAGAGCGTATCCCCAAAGGGAGGGTGGAGCGGCAGCGTGCGTGAGAAGACAGCGGGAGATTTGCACAAAAGTGCGATTGCGGCTTTCCGCGATGCCATTCTGCTCCGGGCTGTGCGGAAGAGTGAAGATTTGGTGAATTCTTTGCGAGGCGCAAAATGTGTGAAGAGTGTGGTTGCGGAACTCGCCACCGCTGTCGGAATGGAGACACTTGACGGAGGTGACGATGGAGACACCGCTGTCGGAGTGGGTTTGAGCTTGCCGAACCCAGGCGATGACAGTATCAGGAACCGATGCTTTGGAGGAAAGGAGGTGGATGGATGCGTAGCGAGAGTGATCGTCCACGAGCACCAAAAAGTAGGAATGCCCGCCGCGGGATTGAACTGACGCCGGCCCCCAGAGATCCATATGGACGAGATCAAGGGGGGCGGCCGCGGCGGAGGGTGATGGAGGGTGAGGCAACTGATGCAATTTACTTTCTGTACAGTCCAGACAGGGGGATGCTGGTGAAGGAGATGGTGGGGGAAGAGAGTCGGGAAGATGGCGAAGGGATTTCTTGGAGGCGAGCTCTGAGAGGGTGTGAAAATTGGGGTGCCCGAACCAGTGGTGGAAAAACAAGGTGGGGTCGGAGAGGTGGCGACACGAGCACGCGGAGGTTGTGTGAACTTCACTGCGAGATGGAGGCACTTGAAGCGTGTAGAGGTTGTTGGAGGAGAGAGTAATGCGCGCGAGACGCGTGTTGCAGGTTGGATCAATGAGATCACAATGGTTGGAGTGAGCGGGGAAGATGGTGGTGACCCCTACCCGCTGAATGTCGTGATGTGCGAGGAGATTGTGCCGTAGCGTGGGAAGGCATATACTAGTGACAGAGCCGGAAGGGAATGCCGGGCATGGAAGTGTGGATGAGCCATGGGCGAGGGTGGTGAAGCTTGAGTCGGCACCAAGTAAAGGGATGGGTGCTTGGTATGGTTTGAATGACTCTTTCTCCTTGAGGACGGTGTGGGTTGTTCCGCTATCAAGGACGGATTCGAGCGTCGAGGAGCATTTAGGCACCGAGAACTGCGAAGTGGTTTCATTGATCATGGCAGCGCTTGGGAACAACAGGTTGAGACGAACATTAGGACTAGGGTTGTCAACATTTGCATCTTGACTAGTAGACGAACTTCAACCTGGTTGGCCTGGCGCATGCGGAGCCAATTAGGTGGCTTGGAGTTGACGCCATTCTTTGCAAACCACTCATCGCCTTTCTTTTTGAAGCACGTGACGAGTGGGTGGTTGGTGCCACCACAGACCTGCCATGCGCGAGGGCCCATTTTAATGACGTAGGGGCAAGGCGAGTAGCGGTTACGAGCCGGAGGCGCATTGGGACGCGCAGTTGGGAAGGAGCTTGGAGTGCGAAGCGCATTTGCTCGAGCTTGGGCGGTATTGTCTTTCTCGGCGGAAAGAAGCGCATAGGAGACTTTAGCGAAGGTGTGCTCTTCCGGTGGGAGGTGGAGGAGCATGGAGCGGGTGACATTGTAGGACGGAGTAAACCCAACAACGAGATCTGCGGCAGGGGCTTGTTTAGGGAAAACAATGCCAAGCTGCTTCAGCTCCTCGTGAATACCCTGAATCTCTCCCACATAGTCCGTCATGCCGAGGCATTCCTCCAAGCGCACCTGAAACATGCGAGGAATGAGGATTGCCACCCCCACAGCAGTTTTGTTGAGCAAGCGGTCATTGAGGTATTCCCAGATGGCATGGGCGGACGGGTTGTTATAGGGATGAGCAAACTACCCGCCCGGGTCGGGTACCCGGTACCCGAACCCGCTCTTAGGGCGGATCGGGTATCTGAAATCCCGTAAAATACCCGGCGGGTCGGGTCCGGGTTACCCGGGCGGGTATTCGATACCCGCTACCCGAAATGCTACCCGACGACGTGGGTAGCAGGTACCCGCCGGGTCGGGTAGTAAATACCCGAGCTCGGGTATCTACCCGAAATCGGGTCGGGTATACCCGACCCGAAATCGGGTCGCGCTGCTACCTGTCGGCAGCAGCGTGATCAAAATTGGGGAGGGTTGGAAATTTCGACCATTTGGTCGAAATTTCCAACCCAACTTTCCTGATCTAGTTTCGTTTTGTCCCTACCGTAGTCGCGCCACCTAACAACCTCACCTGCTTTCGTAAAAAAGCTTCCCGCACCATAAATATTTTATTTCCGATATTAGGTAGGGCGGTTTTACACTATTGCCAAGAGAGGAGTTGGCTGCGCTTAGGGTTTAGGGTTTTGAAGATCTAGGGTTACATCACCTATTCGGCCCCTCGCACTCCCCATTGTAGCGCATAGTTTAGGGTTTAGGGTTGTCCCATCATGCAGTTCTACGACCGTGACGGGCATGCCGTCTCTTTCGGGGGCGGGAGGGTTGAGGGTGGCGGGCTCCAGAGCGGTGCCATGCCTGGAGCATCTCTGACAGGCCTCCCTCTCCCTAGCGGCCGCCAGAGTTTTGCATTGGCGAGCGGTGTCCGTGCGGATGAGGGGGGAGAGGAGGATGACTTCCTCGAAGAGGTGGAGGCGGGCGATGCAGGAGGGGGGGAGGTTGGGGCAACCCATGAGGGGGGGAACGGTGGCCGGGGTGGTGGACGGAGGGGGGGAGGCGAGGGTGACCAGGAGTGGCATCCCAATGCGGAGGAACAGGAGGATGAGGTGTCAGGAGATGGACGCGCCAAGGGGAGGGGGAGGGGGAGGGGGGGGGCGAGGGGGAAGGGCAGGGGAAGGGGGAGGGGGAGGGGAAGAGGTCGCGGCCGTGGTGGACCGGGTGGGGGGAGGGCAGGGGCGATTGGTGCCGGCAGTGGCACTAATGGTGCGGGGGAAGTGGAGGTCGGTGGTGGGGATGCAGCGCGCTTTGGGGATGCCGAGGGCGTGGGGGAGGGTGGTCATGCGGAGTGTGCTACGCCTGCGCCGGGGCGGCCTGTAATCCCAGGTGGGGGGGGAGGGGGCACGGGTGGACAGCATAAGCGGTCGTGAGCGAGCGACAGCTCTCAGGTGACAGTCGGATACTGGGGTACTGTCCCTGGGCTGATGCAGGGGATGTTCTTTCAGCCAGAGGGGGGGGATGGGGCGCGATGCTGCAAGGTATGCGAGGTGCCGATCGGTTGGGGTGAGAGCAGCGCTGGTTCGGCGTGGAAGCACATGCGCTCGTTCCACATGCCTCACCTCCAGATCTGGTATCGCCTGTTCACTGATGCCAACAAGAAGCCGGGGTTGGAGTTTCCGGTGAAGGGGTACCCGGGGGTGCCAGGCGGACCAGACCCGTGGGAGCACGCTGACGCATACCCCGACATCCCTGGTGCGGGCACGGGCGGTTTTGGTGGGGGTGTTGAGGCGGGTCAACGGCACATCCCTCAGTTCTTGGGTCGTCGCGTCACGCAGGAGCGTCTGCGCCACGCTCTTGTCGAGCTGTTCGCAGACGCGGACCTTCCTTTCTGCCTGGTCGACCGCCCCTCGGTAAGAACTGAATACAAAAGCGCTCGCCTCTGCGCATGTTCGATCTCCCAATATCGTTATGGATTCTCACCCCAGCCATGTAAAGCGGCACTTCTGCACGCGTCCACCAACTCTCCCCCCCCCCTCCCCTTCCCTCCCCTCCCCAGTTTCGCCGCTACACCCGCCTCCTCAATCCTCCCGCTGCAGAACTGCTCGGCTCCCGTTTCCGCCTCGCTCGCGACATGCTCGTGCAGGGCGACGCCGCGCGCGAGCGCCAGCTGCAGGACATTGTTGGTGATGGTGCGGCGGGGAAGGTCTCCCTCACCACAGACATTTGGTCCAGCCCGGCGCAAGACGTTTTCCTTGCCGTCACAGCGCACTGGATCACATCAGACTTCCAGCTGCGCCAGGCGCTGCTGGAGTTTGAGGAGATTCAGGGATCGCACACGGGGGTGCTGATAGCAGAGACGTTGGAGAAGGTCATATCGGATTGGGGGCTAAAAGACTCTGTGCTCGGCATCACGACGCACAATGCCGAGAACAACATCAAGGCACTCAAGATCTTGACTCGCAACCCGGAGACCGAGGACGCCCGCAACCCACCAGTGCTGAACCCCGGCTTCTTCTTCAGGTGTGTGGTGCATGCCATGCCATGCCATGCCATGCCAGTCCATGCCATGCCAGTCCATGCCATGCCAGTCCATGCCATGCCAGTCCATGCCATGCCAGTCCATGCAATGCCAGTCCATGCAATGCCAGTCCATGCCATGCCAATCCATGCCATGCCAGTCCATGCCATGCCAGTCCATGCCATGCCAGTCCATGCCATGCCAGTCCATGCCATGCCAGTCCATGCCATGCCAGTCCATGCCATGCCAGTCCATGCCATGCCAGTCCATGCCATGCCAGTCCATGCCATGCCAGTCCATGCCATGCCAGTCCATGCCATGCCAGTCCATGCCATGCCAGTCCATGCCATGCCAGTCCATGCCATGCCAGTCCATGCCATGCCAGTCCATGCCATGCTAGTCCATGCCATGCCAGTCCATGCCATGCCATGCCATGGACTTTCCCCCTTCGGGTGTCTGGCGCACATCATGAACCTCGCGGTCCAGAAGGCTCTTGCTGTCCCGGCAGTCCTCGAGCCGCCCAAGCGTATGCGGGAGATTGCGTCGTCCATTGGGTGGAGCACGACGCGCTCGGACGCGTTCGAGGACGAGCAGCTGCGGCTGGCAGGTCAGGGCGGCCACGCTCTCCTCCTCATCAGCGACACCCCCACGAGATGGGGGTCGTCCTATGAGATGGTGGAACGCTTCCTCAAGCTGAAGGATCCCATCCTGCTGTACTTCTCGGGACTCGAGGTGTGGTTCCCAAATTCCTGGTTTGCTCCCATTCGCATGCATATTTTTCCTCATTGAAATGCTGACAGTCTCCCAAGTTCGCCCATGCGTATTACCCTCCCCAAATATGAGTTTCCCCCTCCGCTACTTCGTGTTCCTTAAAATCCCCCATTCCGCAGTCGGCACGCGACAAGCGGACGCGCGAACAGGCTGCGCGTGTCCGCCTCGCAGACGCGCACTGGGACGCTCTGAGGGTTCTGGTTGAATTCCTCAAGCACTTCCATGACATCACTACTGCGGCGGAGGGGTCGTTGTACCCCACTGCCGCAGCAGTGGTGCCGTAGTACAACCTGCTCATGGATGAGCTTGAGCGTCTCTACCACGACCCCAGTACCGGGGAGCTGTGCAAGCTGTTGGCGGAGGCGGCTCTAAAGGTACGAAGAAGTATGTGTACGGCCAAGGTACAAAAAAACGGCGTATTTTTCCTTTTTAGCCCGTATCATACTGTACCGAAATATACGACCGTTTAATACGGAAAAAAACGGTCTTGGGTGCGTTTTCATGTGTGTGCAAAAAAACGGTCGTATTATACGGTCGTTTTTTTTAATGGGAGGTGTACTAGGTTTATAATTGCCAATCGAGGTCTTGTTATGTGGTTGGGTTTGCTCGCCCTGTTGGGAAATTGTTCGCTCAACATTTTCCCGAAGCGCGAATGCAACCTCATCCCGAACCGCACATTTTGTGCATTTCGCATTGCCGTTGCGAACTTTCGGCAACACCCGTTTGGAATTTTGCGGCCCATAGCGCGCCCAACGCGCGACTCATTTCGCGATGCGCGAAAATCCAGCCTGGCCTTTCCATTTCGCGTCTCCCCAATGCCGTTTGTACAACGAATCCCCCCCACCTTGCCAAGTTGGTGTGAAACAAGTGTGGAGCAGCTCCAAGCAAGGTAAAAGCATAAAGGTGAAATCGCGAATTCAGCTATCCACACTTCAGATTCAGCTCTCAACCCCAAGTAGGCACATTTACCCCCGGTTCGTTCATACGCGCTGCATCGCGTCCTAATTTCGACCGACTAGGTTAGTAATCCCACCATGCCACGAGCTCCGTCGCGCATGTGGGAACACGTGCAGAAAATTTTTAGTGATGACGGGAAACTAATCCGCGCTGAGTGCATTCACTGCCACAAACCCGTCACTGCCAACGCAACGCGGATTACGGAGCACCTGTACGGGACTCCCACCACTAAGTTCAGGAATGTCGCTCAGTGCACCTCGGATTTCGCGCAGAACCTTCGCTCAATGGGCGAGGCCGAGCGGAGTTCCACCTGCTCGGGCTTTAGCCATGGCTCCACGTCCACGGTCGAAGGGCAGGCAGTTCGAAAAAGGGGCCAGATGGATATTCGCACCATGACGGACAAGGCGGCCCGCGAGCACATGGACTACTTGTGGGCGACGGCTGTCGCGGAAAACGATTGGGCTTTCCGCACCTCGCAGTAAGTACTCCCATGCCGCCCAACACCCTGGCCTTTGATGCCATGGAACGTGTTATGCTGGGGTCGGATCTTCAACTCTACCATGCCAAGCTCTCTAACTATCTGCCTCCCGCTTTGCTCAGATCTCTGGCCCTCCAAGAGTTCGTTAATGCGGCTGTCCAATTCGGAAAGAAGTACACCATGCCGTCTGCGTACAAAGTCAGCGGGCCGCTGCTTGTCAAGCTGAAGGCAGACACTGTTGAGCTCGAGAGGCCTCTCAAGGAGACTTGGAACACCAGTGGGTGTTCCTTGTCCATCGACGGATGGTCGTGTTTGAAGAGTCGCGGGCTCGTGTGCATTGTCGCCCAGAATGACACAGCACCCGTTATGGTGGATGTCATTGACTCCAAGACCGCCAAGAAGACAGGGTCGTTCTTGGCGGAGCATATCCGAAAGGCGATATGCACAGTTGGAGATGCCCGCGTTGTCCAAGTCATTATGGACAACGCGAGCAACAACAAGAGTGCGGCCGGGGAGTTAAAGGAGGGGTATCCGGGGATTTTTTTCACAAATTGTGCCGCCCACTGCCTTGACTTGATGCTACACGACCTTGGGTCGATTAGTGTCATCAACCGAGTACTCAAACAGGCCCACCGTGTCGTGATGATGGTGAAAAAGAGCGCTAGCGCCGTTATTCTCTTCCGGGAGGTTTTCAGCAAGCTAGAGCTTGTCCGTCCCGGGGTCACGCGCTTTGGCACGCAGGTGATCATGCTCACCCGCTTTGCTGATCTTCAAGGCGACTTGCAGCGAATGGTGATTAGTGAGGAGTGGAAGGGGATTGCAGTGGCCAAGAAGGAGGAGGGGCGGAAGCTCAAAGACCTCCTTTTGGAGGACAAGTTTTGGGAGGCAGTGGGGGTTGTCGTCCAGCTCATGACCCCACTGTACGAGGTGCTACGAGCAGTCGACCGTAGATCCGTCCTCATGGCGAGGATCTACGGCCTAATGCTGGACGCCACGGTCAAGACTACCAAAGCGGCGGCGGCTGCAGGTAAGCCACTTCCCGCTCCTCCTTTTCAACTCTGCCCTCACCCGCCTGCCTCGGTACTTGGCTGCATGTGCTGCCCCTCACGAATCCACCCTTCCCCCTCCTCCTTTTCAACTCTGCCCTCACCCGTTTCCCTAAATATCAGCTGTGTTTTTTGTCAAACAGACAAAACTGCTGGCTGCTAAGAAAAAGCCGGGTTTCTTGAAGACCGTGCAAAAGATCATTGCCCGACGGTGGGACAAGCAGCTGCACAACCCCCTGCATGCTTTGGGGTGGCTGCTGAACCCGAAGAACCAATTCTCGGAGGAAGTGCGGACCGATCAGGAGATCAGGGATGGAGTGCAAGCCGTGCTTGAGGCAAAGGAGCACGATGTGCAGATCCGCACCCTGCTTCAAACCCAAATTGCCAGCTTCCACAAAGGGGAAGGCCGTTTGGGGAGCGGCGATGCAAGGTTTGCTGCACAAGCTCTTGTAGAGAGCGGCAGGCTTTCGGAGGCAGAGTGGTGGTTTATCTATGGTGGGGAGATGCGCGCCTTGCAGGAGTTGGCGGTAAAGGTCCTATCCCAACCCATCACCGCTTCGGAAGTCGAGCGGTGCTGGTCGGCTATGGCGCGGGTGCAGCGACGCGATCGGAACAAGCTGAACGCCAAGACCATGATCGATGTCACATGGGTGGCGTTCAGCCGCCGCGCTCGGGCCTTTTTTGACAAGAGGGTGGAGGCCCGTGCTCTGCTGTTTGCTGATCTTCAGGCACGCAAGTTCACGGCAAACAGCAGTGACCCGTTTCCACCTCTCCCTCAAGAGGTTGTGGAGGAGGTGGACGACGAAGGGAGTGAGGATGAGGCCGCCGAGTGTGCCATTGATTGGGACACCTTCGGGGACATAGGGGGGAAGAAGAGGAGGAGGGTCAGTGCCACAAGGAAGAGGGGGGCAGAGAAGGTGACCTGCCGAACCAAGGGGACCAAGGATCGCGGCACTTGGGACATGGGCGAGGGAGAGGAGGAGGAGGAGGAGGAGGAGGAGGAGGAGGAGGAGGAGGAGGAGGAGGAGGAGGAGGAGGAGGAGGAGGAGGAGGAGGAGGAGGAGGAGGAGGAGGAGGGAGGAGGAGGAGGCTGAGGAGGAGGAGGAGGCTGAGACTGAGGAGGAGGAGGCTGAGACTGAGGAGGAGGAGGCTGAGGAGGAGGAGGCTGAGGAGGAAGAGGAGGAGGAGGAGGAAGAGGGGGAGTCTCACGAGGAAGCCTAGGAGGATTAGGGGGGAGGTTAAGGTGGAGGAGGGGGAGGCTTAGGATGAGGATGGGGAGGTAGACACCTGCAGGAGGAGGAGGAGGGGGGGGCCTTCGAGGAGGGGGACGTAGACTTATCGAATGCAGTGGCATTTCTATCTGTAGCCGCATTTAGATGTTGTTTTGACGTTAGAAAGCCCATGGCAGTTGTCCCCACCTGTATACTAGTCAGAGTAGGGTTTTTTTTTTTTGCACATTTTCGTCTATTAAAAATTCGGCGTATTTTTCCTCAAATCACCGAAAAAAACGGGCCGTATGAAACGCCCGTTTTTTTCGGTTGCCGTATTTTTGCACCTTGTGTACGGCATCAGTATGGAGCTGGCAGTGGCGACATTCTTGGACCCCAGGTTCAAGCAGCTCTACTTCCAGCTCGAGCGGTGGGAGGGGGCCCACCCTGAGCTAGCGGGAGAGGCCGCTGGGGGGCGTAGGGCGGTGCGTGACGTCACTTCGGAGCAGGTGGTGACATGGGTCAGGGCGCTCTTGCAGTCTTACCTGGACGAGCAGAGCAGGCGTGCGGTGGACGGGGGCCAGGAGGGGACGAGCACAGGGGGAGCGCGGGCCGGGGGGGGGAGTGTTGCCAGGGCCCGGGGTGGGGGGCGCTTGTTTGACATGCTGGGCTCGGCGATGGCAGAGGTGGAGGTGAGAACGGGAGTGGCCGCGCCGGACGAGGTTCACAGGTACCTGCAAGAGGCGCGCTTGGACATGGACGGGTGTCCGCTCGAATGGTGGCACACGCGCGCATCGTACCCGGGGTTGCAGGCGATGGCACGAGACTACCTTGCCATCCCTGCAACCTCGGCACCGAGCGAGCGGGCGTTCAGCCAGGGGCGGAATGTGGTCACCTGGCAGCATCACCGCCTGAGCACTGCTCAGGTGCGTGCATCCATGACTCTCAAGTCATGGATGGCACAGCGCGCCGACAGCAACCTCCCACTGGCTACGCTGGATCGGGCCATGGGGGGGCTGTGCCTTGAGGGTGACGACGAGGGGTTGTGAGGCGTGCGTACAGGGTTAGCCCCTATGGACAGTTTTTCCTGTGTCATACTTTCGAGTGCTTGTGCCATGCCCGGACCCAGCATTGAGCTATAGGGCCATGCATACATGGCATCATGCTTGTCAAATGATTGTGACCAGCTGTATAGTGAACTGTGTGCCTTTTATTAATAGTAGGTATATATTGATGCCATGTACATCAATCCCGAACAAGCTAAGCAAGTAAGGAGTATCGTGATGGTGGCATCAAATCAAACCCACATAAATCCAGGGAACAATTTTTTACATTAAAAATAATGCTGTCTCAACCCTAGGAGACAGTTAGACGAACAAGGAAAATCAATGTGTGAGAAAAACAGACCTCGTTTAGGCCTTATTGTATGCGCGGGTAGCATTACCCGCTTTTATGCTAAGTCGGGCCGGGTATACCCGGACCCGCCTGGCGGGTATTAAAATACCCGCCTATAAAAGGCGGGTCCGGGTATTGGTCCGGGATGTAATACCCGACCTAGACCCGACCCGAAACTACCCGACCCAAGGTCCGGTATAGCAAAACCGGGTTGGGTCGGGTAATTACCCGGTTTTGCTCATGCGTAGGTAGTTATGATACGTTTTGACTAGCTCGGAAGGAGTGGTGCTGACGAACACGCCAATGATAGAAGTGTCGGCCTGCTCCCACACATTGTAAGTTTCCTCGTACTTGGTTGTCAGATCTTCCTGCGCCTTGGACTCTTCTTCGGTGGCATTTGGCAGGAGTTCCTTGGGTGGAGTGGGCATCTTCCCTTTGCCGCAGTTGAGCACAACATCCTTAAGACAGATGCCTTCAACCTTGTGGCTCAGCAGGTGCTTGTCAATGCCGTAGCTCCATTCTTTGCAATTGGGGCTCGTGCCGTTGGGGTCAAGGCGCAACGGAGTGATTGGAGCACCAAGGGACGCGGAGGGGAATGCCATGGTGTAAAGGGTCCCTTTCTCCTGCGCAAAGCGCACCTCTTAAGTCGCCGATTGGGGCTCCGCCAAAAAGACACTTTCCCGAAGCGGATTTTCAATGCTTAGAGTGTCGATTCGTCGAAACTGGAAACGAGCCGTCCCGAAAGTCACGAAATAGTGATGAAAATTAGCTGCTGCCGTTAGGGTTGAGCATACTACCCGCCCGGGTCGGGTACCCGGTACCCGGATCCGCTTTTAGGGCGGGTCGGGTATCGGAAATCCTGAATATTACCCGGCGGGTCGGGTCCGGGTTATCCGGGCGGGTATTCAATACCCGGTACCCGAAATGCTACCCGACGCGTCGGGTAGCGGGTACCCGACCCGAAATCGGGTAGCGGTCTACCCGACGGAACCAGCGAGACATTAGTCGCGCTGGTAGAGAAATTTCATCAAGTTTCTAGGTTACGTGAGCTGCTAGGTCACTTAGAGCATTGTAGATTGGCAAGGGTTGGGTTTCGTAGATACAGATGCATTCACAATGGTTGAATTGGGGGGAATTGGTTGGAAGTCAAACCAATCGAATTTCCCCAATCGAATTTGCAACCCAACTTGAATCCAGCCAACCGCACAGCACCACATTGGTTGGAGTTCCAACCAATTGACTCTGGGGGTCAAAGAATCAAACCCCCAGAAACCGCACAAAACCCCATCCCAACTAGAAAACCCAACCAACTCCCCACTCAGGCCCCACTCACGACCCACTCACCACACCAGAACTGTTAAAGATTTGGCGCACCTCATACTCCCTCCCGCAGCTCACGTTTTTTGAAGCACTATCTAGGTTGTAGGCTTAATAGCCCAAGATGGTAGAAAAACGCAGGTAATACTATCTGCTTTTCAAGGAAACCGGGTCGGGTATACCCGGACCCGCCAGGCGGGTATTAAATTACCCGCCCCCAAATCTCGGGTCCGGGTATTGGTCCTGGGCATGTTACCCGACCCGTACCCGACCCGAAAATACCCGACCCGAAGTCGGGTATAGCAAAACTGGGTCGGGTCGGGTAAATACCCGGTTTTGCTCATGACTAGCTGCCGTACTGCTACGCCGCTGCACCCGCTGCTGCACCCGTTCTGCTTCGCCGCTCAGACCCCCCCTGCCGTTGCAAGGGCGACGGGTGGCAACTTGTTCAGCTTCGACGCGCAAATGCAGGGCGACGGGCGATGGCCCAAAATAGGTGCGATGAGCAGATGCGGGGCAACGGGCGGCAGCCCGACGTGAGGTGTTGTGCAGATGCGGGGCGACGGACATCAGCCCGACGAGAAGCACGCGCAGATGCAGGGCGACGAACGGCAGCCCGAAGAGAAGCGCCGCGCAGATGCGGGGCGACGGGCAGCAGCGCGAAGAGAAGAGCCGCGCAGATGCGGGGCGACGGGCGGCAGCCCGAAGAGAAACGCCGCGCAGATGCGGGGCGACGGGCGTCAGCCCGAAGAGAAGGGTCGCGCAGATGCGGGGCGACAGGCGGCAGCCCGAAGAGAAGCGCCGCGCAGAGTTGAGGCGGCTAGAAAAGCTTTGCGTCGTAAGACGCAAATGCTAAGCTCCAACGGAGCGAGAGGATCAAGAGCCGCTTAGGCGGAAACTAGCTATGATACCATGTAAGAAAACGGGACTTTTATTCATTAAATGAGAGAGGGCATACAAGCTTCAGTACCAACCATCGGAGAGGGTTGGAAGGGAAAAGGGAAATCGGAGGGAATCCCAAGGGAATCCTCCCAAATCGTGGGGATTTGGGATGGATTGGGTTGGGATAGGTTGTGGATAAAAAGGCTACACCCAACATAACAAACATTCCTAACCCTAAACAAACAAATGACTAACACACAAATGTGCAACATTGCAGCCTAACTCCAACACCATGTACGTGCCTCACCATATACGCACCTCACCATGCACGCGCCTCACCATGCACGCGCCTCACCATGAACGCGCCTCACCATGCACGCGCCTCACCATGCACGCGCCTCACCATGCACGCGCCTCACCATGTACGCGCCTCACCATGTACGTGCCGAACCCAAGGCGCGGCATCTTGACCACCGCCTCCTCGGGCGCGTTGCTGATGTCGATGCAGTCCGTCGCCGGGCATAGCACGCGCTGCCCCACCGCGCGGAAGTTGGCCATGCCACGCCACGCACAGCGCACAGCGCCTGTCGCTCACCTCCTGCACCCCCCTGATCTCCTGCGCCCGCGCCTGACCTCCTGTGCCGCGATGGGTGGCTCACCTCGACGCGAGCTGCACGCAACACGGGAGCGGGCAGTGAGGGCAGGTGAGGGCAGGTGAGGGCAGGTGCGCACGGTGGTGGGAGCGAGTGAGAGGGGTGCATGGTGGTGTGAGCGAGTGAGGGGGGGCGGTCAAGGGCCTTGAAGGGACAGCAGAGCACGCAGGAAGAATGCAGAGTATCTGGGGACACGGTGGCGAGGGGCTGACAGGCGGGGGACAATTGACTTTTGAGTCGACTCAAAAGGCTGACAGGCGGGGGACAAGAGCTACAGGCGGGGGGAGAGGGGAGCAGAGGAGGGGCTGCTGGCGCGATGGGGGGAAGAGGGGCGAGATGGGGAGGATAATAGGGAGAGGGCGATGGGGTGTGGGGGTAAGGAGGAGGGAGGGGGTAGCAGAGAGGGGGAATGGGAAGGAAGATGGCAAGGAGGGGCTTTAAAAGGGGGGAGAAGGGGTGCGGCTGGTGGATGGGTGGGAGGAAGGGGCGGCGGGAAGTGATGAGAGGCAGGGCGGCGAGAAAGGGATGGGGGGAAGGTCAGCGGAGGACGGAGAGAGGGCAAACGAGGCAGAGGGCGCCCGCGCGCGGCGCGCTGTGAGCGGGCCGCAGGACGCCTCGCAGAGGGAGATGCAGGGGACGAGGGCGGGTGAGCGAGGAGCACGCGACGGCGGGAGACTCACCTGCGCTACTCGTAGGCCGCGACGCAGCGACGCGCACAGCGAGGCAGAGGGAGTCCGCGTGCGGCGCGTTGTCAGCGGGCCGCAGCGAGGCAGAGGGAGTCGGCCCCTAAAACGCTGTCAGCGGGCAGAGGGAGTCGGCCCCTAAAACGCTGTCAGCGGGCCGCAGGACGCCTCGCAGGGAGGCGCGCTCGCCGCTACTCGACTGTTAGGGGTGGCAGCGCGGCAGCAGAGCAGCAGAGCGCATTGCCCGCTCGGGACGATCAAGGTTGATCGACCTGATTCCGCGCTTGCATTGTTGGCGCTTTGCTTCTAGCTGTTTCTAACTAGTACGTCTAGGCGCCAGTGGCGTAATCGGGCTCAATATCGTCCCGCGTCACTTGCGGAAACTCGTGCGCTGCTTCGTGAGTCGTAAGCCTGGTGATGCAAGCGCGAAATTTGTGCCAAGCCTCAGAAAGCCAAAACATGAGGGCGCGCTGCAGTTCTTTCCACGCCCAAAACTCTCATGTCCGCTCACCGCAGCCGCTGCCAACCAAGTGCGAATGGTTGGAGAAACTACGGGCCGTTCGTGGCGGGTGTCAAGCTCCAAGCGAGCCAGCTTGACACGAAGTGAAATTGACATTTGGTGTAACTAAATTAGTTGACACGTATGGGTTTTGACACGTAGCTTAGCACCGACAAAGATCGCGCTCTGCTGAGGTCATGAGAGTAGGGTGGGGGTAGGGTTGGGTATGGTAGGTCATTAGTCCACTCTAGAGAACAGCTGGGCGGGTTCTGACCAAAACGAGCTCCGCTGCTTGATCCTCAACTGTCGAGCGTGCCTCTGGGGTTGGTGAGGCGCGCCGCATTGCGAGGGTCATTGGGAGGCGGAGGCCGGTAGTGCGGCCAGCACCGCGCTGTCCAAATTGCGAGCACATGCCCCGCCATCGCCCCATCGCCTGCTCAAGGTTTCCCGGCAGCAGGGCGCTCGCCCCTCGCCCCTCGCCCCTCGCCCCTCGCCCATGCCCCTGCGCCTCTCCCGGTGCCGCGTCGCCCACATGCTCCTCCGCGCGCCCTTCCATCGCTCCCCGCGCGCGCTCGCCGCACCGCCACGCAACTGCGCGTCCTCGCCCACTGCGTCGCACGGCCCCGTCGCTCGTTCTCCGCAGACTAGTTCTGCGACGCCTGCGATCGGCCACTGCATCGCGACAAGCAACAGACGTCGCACGGTCGCCTGCGCCCTGCGGGCTGCGCTTGCGCCCGCCGCTCCTCGCCCCCGCTGCTGCGCCCCTGCACTCGCTGCCGTGTGCCCCCCGTCCCTTGCGCCTGCGGCTTCGTCTCCGCTCCGTGCGCGGGCATTCTCAGCGGCGGGCGCAGGCGCCGAGGGGGTCGGGAGGGCGGATGGCGGAGCGCGGGACGGCAGTGCGATGGGGCGGAGGCTAGTGTTGGGAGCAGCGGCGGGGGCGCGGAGGGAGCGGAGGGGTTTTGGAGGAATCGCCTCTGCGGGGCATGGAGAGGTGGCGCGCGCAGCCATGGCGGAGGGCGCAGTGCTGCGCGGAGGAGAGGCCGGAGGGGCGCGAGGGATGGGGGTGATGGAAGGTGCGGCGGGGGTAGCGGGGGTAGCGCGGCGGGGCGTGGTTCACGCAAGGTGGGGCGGGGGGGAAGGCGCGGAGGGGCAGCGCGCGGTGGTGCTGTGGGACTTGGACAACGTGCAGCCGGAGCGCGCCGAGCCGTTCGACGCGGCGCTGCGGCTGAGGGACCTGGCGGCCAGCTTCGGGTCGCCCGTGGACGTGCTGGCGTACGCCAACCGCCACGCCTTCGACTTCGTGCCCGCGTGGGTGCGCGAGGAGCGGCGCGCGCGGCGCGAGGAGGAGCGGCTGGAGGCGCAGGGGCTGCTGCAGCGCGCCGAGCCGCTCACATGCCAGCTGTGCGGGCGGCGGTGCAGCAGCGCGGCGGCGCTGAGGAAACACTTCGTGTCGCTGCACAAGCGGGAGCACGAGAAGCGCTTGCAGCACCTCAAACACGCCAGCCCCAAGTGAGGCCCGCTTCGCGCCCCTCACGCACTCAACCGCTCCCACCGTGCCCTTTTCTGCCCCACCCTACGTCCTTGTGTTCCCACTCCCCCGCCCCTGCCCTTCCCCTCCCTGCTCCTCCGCCCACCGCTCCCCCCACTGCTCTGCTGCCCACCCCCCGTCCGTGCCGTGCCATGGCACCCTCCGGGGTCCCCTCCCTTGGCTTGGCGAGCCATCACGGCGCGCAGCGCCTCCCTGCTGCCGCCCAACACCACGTGCTCAGCTGCCTCCCTGGCCTCTCCTCTCCGCCTTCCTCACCTTGAACCCGAGCCCTCCCCTGTTCCTTCCCCTGCCCTCCAGTTCTTCCGCGTTTCCCCTCCTTTCCCCTTCCTCCCAACGCCTACCCGTGCGTCTTACCACTCCTCTCCCTCCTTCCCTCCCATATTTCCACATTCCACGTCTTGTTCGTGTCTGCTTCTCCCCACCCCACCCCGCTTCCAACCAACCCCCCTCTTCCCTCGCACGTCTCACTCTTTCCCGAGTTGCCAGTGCGGGTGAGCCTCTCAGATTCGTCTCTTCTTCACCTGCCCTGCCCTCGCCTCGTCTCTGTGCTGCTTCCCCCCGTCACCCCCCGCTCCCTCCGTGCAGGCGGCAGCGGCGGCTGCGCGAGGTGTATCGCGGCAAGCAGCAGCGGTACCAGGAGGCGGTGCGCGGGGTGGTGCAGCCGAAGCGCGGGTACGGGCTCATGCCCGAGCTCAGACGGGCGGGCGTCGTCGTGCGGCTGGTCAGCCAGCAGTCGCAGGTGAGCGGTGAGAGGCGCATGGCGAGAGGTACGCAATGAGAGGTACGCAATGAGAGGTACGCAATGAGAGGTACGCAATGAGGGGTACGCAATGAGAGGTACGCAATGAGAGGTACGCAATGAGGGGTACGCAATGAGAGGTACGCAATGAGAGGTACGCAATGAGGGGTACGCAATGAGGGGTACGCAATGAGAGGTACGCAATGAGGGGTACGCAATGAGGGGTACGCAATGAGGGGTACGCAATAAGGGGTACGCAATGAGGGGTACGCAATGAGAGGTACGCAATGAGGGGTACGCAATGAGAGGTACGCAATGAGGGGTACGCAATGAGGGGTACGCAATGAGGGGTACGCAATGAGGGGTACGCAATGAGGGGTACGCAATGAGAGGTACGCAATGAGGGGTACGCAATGAGAGGTACGCAATGAGAGGTACGCAATGAGAGGTACGCAATGAGGGGTACGCAATGAGGGGTACGCAATGAGGGGTACGCAATGAGGGGTACGCAATGAGAGGTACGCAATGAGGGATACGCAATGAGAGGTACGCAATGAGAGGTACGCAATGAGAGGTACGCAATGAGGGGTACGCAATGAGAGGTACCCAATGAGGGGTACGCAATGAGAGGTACGCAATGAGGGGTACGCAATGAGAGGTACGCAATGAGGGGTACGCAATGAGGGGTACGCAATAAGGGGTACGCAATGAGGGATACGCAATGAGAGGTACGCAATGAGAGGTACGCAATGAGGGGTACGCAATGAGAGGTACGCAATGAGAGGTACGCAATGAGGGGTACGCAATGAGAGGTACGCAATGAGAGGTACGCAATGAGGGGTACGCAATGAGGGGTACGCAATGAGAGGTACGCAATGAGGGGTACGCAATGAGGGGTACGCAATGAGGGTACGCAATAGGGTACGCAATGAGGGGTACGCAATGAGAGGTACGCAATGAGGGATACGCAATGAGAGGTACGCAATGAGGGGTACGCAATGAGGGGTACGCAATGAGGGGTACGCAATAAGGGGTACGCAATGAGGGGTACGCAATGAGAGGTACGCAATGAGGGGTACGCAATGAGAGGTACGCAATGAGAGGTACGCAATGAGAGGTACGCAATGAGGGGTACGCAATGAGGGGTACGCAATGAGGGGTACGCAATGAGAGGTACGCAATGAGGGGTACGCAATGAGAGGTACGCAATGAGGGGTACGCAATGAGAGGTACGCAATGAGGGGTACGCAATGAGAGGTACGCAATGAGAGGTACGCAATGAGGGGTACGCAATGAGAGGTACGCAATGAGGGGTACGCAATGAGAGGTACGCAATGAGGGGTACGCAATGAGAGGTACGCAATGAGGGGTACGCAATGAGAGGTACGCAATGAGGGGTACGCAATGAGAGGTACGCAATGAGGGGTACGCAATGAGGGGTACGCAATGAGGGGTACGCAATGAGAGGTACGCAATGAGGGGTACGCAATGAGGGGTACGCAATGAGGGGTACGCAATGAGAGGTACGCAATGAGAGGTACGCAATGAGGGGTACGCAATGAGGGGTACGCAATGAGGGGTACGCAATGAGAGGTACGCAATGAGGGGTACGCAATGAGGGGTACGCAATGAGGGGTACGCAATGAGAGGTACGCAATGAGGGGTACGCAATGAGGGGTACGCAATGAGAGGTACGCAATAAGGGGTACGCAATGAGAGGTACGCAATGAGAGGTACGCAATGAGAGGTACGCAATGAGAGGTACGCAATGAGGGGTACGCAATGAGAGGTACGCAATGAGAGGTACGCAATGAGGGGTACGCAATGAGAGGTACGCAATGAGGGGTACGCAATGAGAGGTACGCAATGAGGGGTACGCAATGAGAGGTACGCAATGAGGGGTACGCAATGAGGGGTACGCAATGAGAGGTACGCAATGAGAGGTACGCAATGAGGGGTACGCAATGAGGGGTACGCAATGAGGGGTACGCAATGAGAGGTACGCAATGAGGGGTACGCAATGAGGGGTACGCAATGAGGGGTACGCAATGAGAGGTACGCAATGAGGGGTACGCAATGAGGGGTACGCAATGAGGGGTATGCAATGAGGGGTATGCAATGAGAGGTACGCAATAAGGGGTACGCAATGAGAGGTACGCAATGAGAGGTACGCAATGAGGGGTACGCAATGAGAGGTACGCAATGAGGGGTACGCAATGAGGGGTACGCAATGAGAGGTACGCAATAAGGGGTACGCAATGAGAGGTACGCAATGAGAGGTACGCAATGAGAGGTACGCAATGAGAGGTACGCAATGAGGGGTACGCAATGAGAGGTACGCAATGAGAGGTACGCAATGAGGGGTACGCAATGAGAGGTACGCAATGAGAGGTACGCAATGAGAGGTACGCAATGAGGGGTACGCAATGAGGGGTACGCAATGAGAGGTACGCAATGAGGGGTACGCAATGAGAGGTACGCAATAAGGGGTACGCAATGAGGGGTACGCAATGAGGGGTACGCAATGAGGGGTACGCAATGAGGGGTACGCAATGAGGGGTACGCAATGAGAGGTACGCAATGAGGGGTACGCAATGAGGGGTACGCAATGAGGGGTACGCAATGAGAGGTACGCAATGAGGGGTATGCAATGAGGGGTATGCAATGAGAGGTACGCAATAAGGGGTACGCAATGAGAGGTACGCAATGAGAGGTACGCAATGAGGGGTACGCAATGAGAGGTACGCAATGAGGGGTACGCAATGAGGGGTACGCAATGAGAGGTACGCAATAAGGGGTACGCAATGAGAGGTACGCAATGAGAGGTACGCAATGAGAGGTACGCAATGAGAGGTACGCAATGAGGGGTACGCAATGAGAGGTACGCAATGAGAGGTACGCAATGAGGGGTACGCAATGAGAGGTACGCAATGAGGGGTACGCAATGAGAGGTACGCAATGAGGGGTACGCAATGAGAGGTACGCAATGAGGGGTACGCAATGAGGGGTACGCAATGAGAGGTACGCAATGAGAGGTACGCAATGAGGGGTACGCAATGAGGGGTACGCAATGAGGGGTACGCAATGAGAGGTACGCAATGAGGGGTACGCAATGAGGGGTACGCAATGAGGGGTACGCAATGAGAGGTACGCAATGAGGGGTACGCAATGAGGGGTACGCAATGAGAGGTACGCAATGAGGGGTACGCAATGAGAGGTACGCAATAAGGGGTACGCAATGAGGGGTACGCAATGAGGGGTACGCAATGAGGGGTACGCAATGAGGGGTACGCAATGAGGGGTACGCAATGAGAGGTACGCAATGAGGGGTACGCAATGAGGGGTACGCAATGAGGGGTACGCAATGAGAGGTACGCAATGAGGGGTACGCAATGAGGGGTACGCAATGAGAGGTACGCAATGAGGGGTACGCAATGAGGGGTACGCAATGAGGGGTACGCAATGAGAGGTACGCAATGAGGGGTACGCAATGAGAGGTACGCAATGAGAGGTACGCAATGAGGGGTACGCAATGAGAGGTACGCAATGAGAGGTACGCAATGAGAGGTACGCAATGAGGGGTACGCAATGAGGGGTACGCAATGAGAGGTACGCAATAAGGGGTACGCAATGAGAGGTACGCAATGAGAGGTACGCAATGAGGGGTACGCAATGAGAGGTAACGCAATGAGGGGTACGCAATGAGGGTACGCAATGAAGGGGTACGCAATGAGGGTACGCAATGAGAGGTACGCAATGAGAGGTACGCAATGAGAGGTACGCAATGAGGTACGGCAATGAGAGGTACGCAATGAGGGGTACGCAATGAGAGGTACGTGAGGGTACCAATGAGGGACGCAATGAGAGGTACGCAATGAGGGGTACGCAATGAGAGGTAGCAAGGGGTACGATGGGTACGCAATGAGAGTACGCAATGAAGGGGTACGCAATGAGGGGTACGCAATGAGGGTACGCAATGAGGGGTACGCAATGAGGGGTACGCAATGAGGGTACGCAATGGGGAGAAAGTACGCAATGAGGGTCGCATGAGGGGTACGCAATGAGGGGTACGCAATGAGGGGTACGCAATGAGAGGTACGCAATGAGGGGTACGCAATGAGGGGTAGCAATGAGGGTACGCAATGAGGGGTACGCAATGAGGGTAGCAATGAGGGTACGCAATGAGAGGTAACGCAATGAGGGGTACGCAATGAGAGGTACGCAAGAGGGTACGCAATGAGGGGTACGCAATGAGAGGTACGCAATGAGAGGTACGCAATGAGAGGTACGCAATGAGGGGTACGCAATGAGGGGTACGCAATGAGAGGTACGCAATAAGGGGTACGCAATGAGAGGTACGCAATGAGAGGTACGCAATGAGAGGTACGCAATGAGAGGTACGCAATGAGGGGTACGCAATGAGGGGTACGCAATGAGAGGTACGCAATGAGGGGTACGCAATGAGAGGTACGCAATGAGAGGTACGCAATGAGGGGTACGCAATGAGAGGTACGCAATAAGGGGTACGCAATGAGAGGTACGCAATGAGAGGTACGCAATGAGAGGTACGCAATGAGGGGTACGCAATGAGGGGTACGCAATGAGAGGTACGCAATGAGGGGTACGCAATGAGGGGTACGCAATGAGGGGTACGCAATGAGAGGTACGCAATGAGGGGTACGCAATGAGGGGTACGCAATGAGAGGTACGCAATGAGGGGTACGCAATGAGAGGTACGCAATGAGAGGTACGCAATGAGGGTACGCAATGAGGGTACGCAATGAGAGGTACGCAATGAGAGGTACGCAATGAGGGGTACGCAATGAGGGTACGCAATGAGAGGTACGCAATAAGGGGTACGCAATGAGAGGTACGCCAATGAGAGGTACGCAATGAGAGGTACGCAATGAGAGGTACGCAATGAGGGGGTACGCAATGAGGGGTACGCAATGAGAGGTACGCAATGAGGGGTACGCAATGAGAGGTACGCAATGAGAGGT